CCCCCCCCCCCCCCTCCCCATTCTGTTTATAATAATGGCCTTGGTGCTTTGGTTACCTCAAGGTTTTTAATCATCCGAACTTGACAGATCTGTACAAGTACTCAGCAAATAAGGCCCAAGGGTTAGCTTTTGACGCGAACGAAAACCCTGAATATCACACAGTTTACTCAACAGTAAGAAACAGCATATGAAGTAACCACACCTGCCCTTCTTTGTACAGTCAACATATGGCTCCATTTATAATAGAGTTCAGATCAGGAATCAGTTTTGTTCCTATTTTTGCTCAAATTGACAACCAATATCACCAAGGCAACACCTTGAGGTTGAGAGCATTTTTGAAGTTCCATGTATGCCAAATTATTCAAAGTACCTCCAAAAATCATTGTAGCATGTTCTTGAAAGGCTATATACCAAACCTCCTAGGCAGTACTCCAGTAGTTCCATTTACCTAAGCCAGGAAAAATCCCCAAAGATTAGGTTTCAATATAATATATATATATTGGAATACTCTTTGATACGATTCAAATATTACAAATAAATAAAATCCAGCAATAGTTAGACATAGAATCAATAAATGACGCCACAAGGCGACTGGTTCTAGCTTTCTTAATTTGTAAGCTACGAAAAGGTCAAAATTACGCTGTTTAATAACTTCAGATGAAAAATTAAAATCAGGAAATGAAAAATATTATGCTAGGTCTAAGGCATGTTTTTACTTAATGTATACATATGATTAAATGAAAACTAGAGGTTATTACATACGTTTTTCGTGCACAAGCAAAAAATCAAATGAGAACGAACAAAAAAACGTTTTCTAATATATTTTCTAGCAATTCTATAGCTTGCCTATACTACTATAGCGTCCTACTGCGAGACAAGTCGCAATTACCAAAATTTAAACTGGTGGGGAAAATTGTGCACATTTCCAAATCTTAATACTAAAATATACGCAAATTATATGGAAATGATTAAACGAATATCAATATTTTAAGTTCAAATTAAGTTAATGTTTTGAAAATAACCTTATTTTATCATGCTCTCGTAACTTAGGAACAGTAATCGTATTCGTGTTGTCGTTAAGTATGTCAACACAGCGGGATTACCTGTCCGCGATGGTTTGTTCATTATTTCAAAAAAAACAGCAAGACCTGTTCAGCACAGCTTAACAATAACCACATTCAAAATTACTAAAACCTTGCTTTGAAATTAAAAATACGAGTTTAGATTCTACTTTGATTAGAAAGTTTGGTCTTTGGAGAAGTCATTTTTGACGAAACACGATCCATAAAATTTACTGTTTGCCTTTGGCATATCAATGACAATGTGCTCTATAATCTTGACTTGCCATAACTCTTAAATGCTATGACGGACACATTAATTCGCGCTAATATTGTAATAAATCGATATTTTCCCAACTTATTTCGCGTAACAATAGTTCAGTACATTTCTGTGTAGGGATATATAAGTTTAGCACAAAAGATGCAAGATTTTCAGTTTATGCCTTAGCGTGTACTTTATAAGATTTGACTCAATGTTTCCGTTAAAATAATTAAAAATTCTAGGCTTATTTCAACGGCTCAAAATTTGTTCAGTACATGTATAGGAATACGTAGTTTTCTCACAAAAGATGTGGGTTTTCATGTTTGTAGTTATGCATTGGTGTTATGGGATTCACAATTGGTAAATGCAAACAAGTTAAGCTCATTGATATAAAAATAAATAATTATCACGGCTGAGTGATTTGTCTCTCATTGAAATTCGGAAAAGCAGGTGTTTAGACAATAGAGTTAGCAAACAGTTATCCCTCAAGTATATTGTAAGCCATGAGGCGTCTTTTCAACTCTATATCATCCTTTTGTGTTTACCCACGTTAGCGACCTTAAACCCTAAATCCACCGTCCAATTTTGCTAAAGACCTAGCACCCCACAACGGTAAGTTTTCGATACGAAAATCTTATAAATATTATCCAAGATCAAAGTCTCTCAACAAAGAGCTAGCTAACACATGCATTATTTATGATTTATGAATATATTTCGGTCGTATCTGTATTTCTGTGGCCTCAGTCCAATTTAATAGTTAGAGAGAGTTCAGTATGTTGTAGTGTAACAAATTTGATAACTCTAATTAGTAGTGGCGAAGCATATGCGCTATTGGTTAGGATTAATACACAGGGTATTAAACTGTGTGCCCATGCAGTTCTAGGGGATTTATCGCTTCGAATAAATTAACTGGTGGTTTAGCTCAAGCTTATTGACAAATGGTTATTAATGGCAATTTACATTGGAGTTGGACAATAGGCTACATAATGTTTCAATCTTAGACGCATGGCGGCATCCAGATGGCGGAAAATCTTAATGACATGCAAATGAATTCAACGGTACGTCGTTGCTGTGTAGCTTAACAAAGCTGTTATTCTCTAAGCATACATTATACGATCAAACATGTGTATTCCTTATCAACTAATTCACTTCGTACACCTCCTATGTATGCTCTTTTGACTACGAAAATTCAATTTCAGCAGGTATACTTTTATACTTTATATATGAACTTTTAGAACTCAAATTTAACTTTCCAGTTTTTGTTAGTGTATTTGATCAACAATATATATTACGATCATTCTATGTTTAATTACGAAAATGTCAACTAATTTTTACTAACAGACGTGTATCGTTGTTAAACGAGTTTTGTAACGTATATATATATGCTATTAAATGTAGTGATTTACTCCAGTTTAGCTGCTCTGAACTTTGATACATTTTACGCGTATGGATGTATATGTATGTTATAGATGTATACATGCATGTCAGTAATTAAATCCTGATAATATAGAGAAACCAGCTTAATATATGGAGTGATAAAGAGATTGAAATTGTTAAGATTATTCAGTATAAAACCGGAATGCTTTATAACCTTAATCTAAGGTATAGTTTGGAATATCACCAAATTCATGAATTATGAACATTATCGTTTCCAATATTGTTAGGAAACGATAATGTTAATTCACTTGGTGACATATGGAAATTTGTGTTTTCAAAAACACTTATTAATTACTGCAATGTTTGTGCTAAGGTATATATAACAGTATCATAGAAATAGTAATAGTGTATTTCCAGGTAATATGAAGTTGTATACCCCGAATTTAGAATCAAAGTGGCAAAATGTTTAGCCTCCCTTTCGTTTGTTGTATATTGTACCTGTACAATTTTATTTATTCAAAGACTTAAACGAAATTGTCTTTTCCTCACGAAAATTTGGGGCAGCTTTGCTGAGTCTATGGCATCTGTATACCATATTAGTTTTATGTTGGACATTTGGGAAATTTTAGCACTAAAATGCTGCAAAAAGAGTTCAATTTTGCATCGTCTGTCGAACTCAACCTGCTACATTGGTTAATTTGCATAATGTTAATTTCGTCTATTCAATTGATTGTTTTGCTGAGCACATGGCATATCATTTACATCAAGGTAGTCAGGAATAATTATATACTTCGTTGCCCCTTACACGTGCCAGACGTATGCCACAAAAACCATTCACATTGTTTTACAGGAAGTACTTAAATCTAGAACTAGAATATATAAAAATATCCTAGGTTGGCTCGTATCGGCCACAAAAGCTGTCGCTGCAGAGAATCACTTCGTTGTTAAAAAAACACCTATCTATAGTTATCTAGTGTACATATATAGTTTTGTTGTAAAACTATTCAGGACAAAAATAAGTATGCTTTCAAGTTTAAAGAGAAAGAAGAATTCTTAGTACTTAGTACAACGTATTAATTAAGTATGCACAATTGTGTACGCGAAACAATTAAGAGTCCTTCGATTTCGCAAGTTGTTGATAAAACTCGAAACATTAATACGAATGTAACACAGTAACATTTTTAAAAGTTAAAATGGGCTGAAGTGTTTTGTGAATATTTTAGCCCGTGTGTGAAATTTTACAAGTTTTTTGAACGAGGGAGGGAGACTTAATTAATAAAATAGTTTTTACATGCATGGCAAATTAACAGACAACCTAAACAAAGCAGGTTGTCATGCTTCGAAATTGACTTTCATTTCAATTTAATAGTTTTTGTGTTATATTTAAGTTTGAGAAGTTGATGGTAGTATGTTTTTGTACAATCAGAAAGACAGAGACGTTTCAATGTCCGAAAGACAGATGTGTGGCGTATTATGCTAATTAAGGCGATGCCGTTGTATTTACGGTTTGCAACGCGGTATTTCAGCCTTTTGAATGATGGTTTTTAACGAAATGCACCTTAAAAACCATCATTCAAAAGGCTGAACTGCGCCTTTAATGATGCTTGTGATGTTACTCTGAGTGTATATCCACACCGGGCAAGCTTGAAAAATATGCCTGGCCACGTTGGGAATCGAACCTACGACCTTTGGAATACTAACCCAATGCTCTGCCAACTGAGCTACGCGGTCAGGTCGGTTCGAGTATGTGATATTTCGGAACAGAATCTAGTTGATTTTTTTCTGTGTTGGTGTAATGTACTCAAGTGAATATGATGCTTGTGATGTTACTCTGAGTTAGTATTCCAAAGGCTAGTATTCCAAATGTCGTAGGTTCGATTCCCACCGTGGCCAGGCATATTTTTCAAGCTTGCCCAGTGTGGATATACACTCAGAGTAACATCACAAGCATCATATTCACCTGAGTACATTACACCAACACAGAAAAAAATCTTGTGCCTTTAATGTTTAAAATCCTTGCTTTGAAAACTTAGTGGTTGATTCTTTCCTATGTTGATTAATCGCCGCAAACGCTGAGCATCCCTCTAACCTTACCTTTGCTTTCAGCCATTAAAGAGAAAAGCGTCAGAAAGTCAGTCAGAGAACACACACCCTGTAGTTGTCATTGGTGACAGCGAGCCAGAAGGAGACGACGGAGAGGTCTGGAAACGAGAAGAAAAGACAAGTGTATCAAACGTGGTGACGTCATCTAGAACATCGACTAGCACCGGAAGTAAGTTTGATGACATGTGTGGACCAACTTGAACAAAAGGAAAGATAGTTTTGGTTTGATAATTCGTCTTTGCATAAATGCGGCAGACGGACGATTTCTCTTATCGAGCCGAACTTGCTGAAATAGCGCACAGTCTACGGACCGTTTGCAGAATTACTGGAGCTGTAGCATTATTAGACCCATAGCCTTGACTTCATTCTCTTGAAAATAGGCAGAAACGATTCAAAAGAAAGCAAGGAATGAAGTCGAGGCAACGAGGTTTATGCTAGCAGGACAAACTACCCAAATTCGTCTGCGTAAAGACGAACTATGCAGATACTTCAGTTCGTCATGACGGATGATATGTGCGTTTGCCGCGTTTAATTAATATACACACACGAATTATCGGATGAAATATCTTTTCTTTGTCCACCCTCGTTCATCCATGTCAAGTATAAATCGAGTCAATTCAATACAAGAAATATAAGGAAAAACATACTTCGAATAAAAATGTTTAAGAACGAACTTTCTCTAAGCCTCATGTTAATAATATATTTTGTGTTCAATGTATAGACCACATTAAGACTTTTTAATATGTTTATTACATCAACAAACGACGTTTTGGAGATTTACTCCATCTCCAGGTGGATAAGATTACAATTTAGAAAAAGATAGCATTAAGAATAAGATGGCATTGCTATACTTCGAACAATAATGCCATCTTGTAAACTCAAGATATACGAGTTATTTAAAGAAAACAACACACAAATTATGCTGGTGATATTTCGACTCTATTTCAGGCTCATTGTCAAACCAAACTAATTAATTACAAGCGTGCTCAGACATTTCAATACTGCAAACTCCTTCTGGTGTGTAAATAAATTCAATTACAGTATTCAAACATTGCCAACAATGCGTGGATTCATATTAATCACGTTCTTATTTCAGGTTTACACGCGAGTGTCACACAGGCATCGAGTGTTCCTATGAGTTCACCTGCATCTGGGGGACAGAACTCTAGTTTTGCAGCAGCTCTTAGAAAACTTGCCAAGCAAGCGATGTCACCTGGTTCCCAGTCTCCTGTCAGTGTTTTACCACCGCCAAATACTTCTACCATGTCACCAGTCAAAAGTAATGGTAAGTCTAGTATAAATAAAGTTGGTGTAGCTTAGGTTTCCTCCTGTATTAACATTGGAACAGCAAGGGAGGTCTTTATAAGATCGTTACTCTTTAGGGAGAGCTATTCATTTTAAATAAAGCAACGTCAGTTACTGACAAACATATTTTATTCAGGTTGTGAAAGTCCGAAATTAAATGGGACACCGATTGTTTGTAAAAAAGAAATACCAGATCCCAGTTATTTAAATAGCAAAGGTGAGTGCTAGCGGCTGATAGGGACCTTAAGCTGTAGGACGGCAAAGCGACCAAAACAGATTCATTCAAATAAATGATTGTAAAGAAAGCTTATCGTATATTATCAATCGTATGAATTTAAAACAGCTTGAAGAGGTCAAAACAGAGGCTTTCTATTGAGTAGAATTCCACACTGGCACTGAACCAATTTGCTGGGTATCCACTTCTTACGTGCTAAAATGCAAACGTTGCGCACGGGACGCAAAAGCTCTGTAAATAGACCGTGGACGACGTATAAATATCTCGTGGGATTTTAATTATTCATTTCTTTTCTTAAATATTAATTTTATTGTATTACTAGCCCGTCACGTTGCCGTCCCAGATCTCGAGCGAGAACGGCAACGCAACGACAACGGCCAAAAGAGTTCTGCTGAACTCAGTTTGTAGTTGCACTTGTTGCGGCTTGAAATGCAGCCGTTGTATCAAGACGTGAAAGTCTGTGATTTGGCGTAAACAGAGCGAGGACAGTGTCTAAATTATTATATTGTAATTTTTCAATTCTTTTCAATGATTTATTGTATTGGTAGCCGTTGCCGTCGCGTTGCTGTCCTAAATCGTAAGGTCTCTAATATTCGAGCCAGTACACCCTTCCGGAAAGTGGCCGAGATGACGTACTTACAGGAAGCGTGTATTGCCTTCATCAGTTACATTAACATATTTCTCAGTTTTCAGTCAAAAGTTAGTTAGTTCCACCTTGTATAATAACAATATCTTTATTCCTAGAAAATCGTGTTCATCCTAATATGCCATCATCATCCGAGCTTTCTGGCATCTCTGGACATCAAATCGTACCCGGTGTGTTTTCACTAGGATCCCGAGGTATTTGAAATTTCCGCTGTCCCCACGCCATCCACTCAATGTTTTCACATAGTTGCGACGTAAAGGGCCTGTTCCCCAGGGGCCGGTGTTCAAAAGCCGATTAGCTTCACCCTAGGTTAACCTAGAATTCAAAGCAAACTTCCGAATAGCTTGTTTATAAATTTGGAAATATTTCTTCAGAAATATTGTCTGGATCAGTAGGAGTTTTCTTCTCTGAAGTTTTGAAATAAACAGACGTGCAGAAATACATAAACTAAAACAGCAGGTTATATTTTAACCCAGGTTTAACGTTATGGTTGTTTGTAATTTTGAAAGACTTCGCAATTTAAGAACGAAGTTCCATCTTTTTGTGTAGGTTACGAGGCTAAAACTGGTGCTATAGAAGACCTACATGCTCCAGGGCGTGTCCAAGACATTCCTCGAGTTAGAGCTGTTCACCCCCCTCCCCCAGCACATCCGTTCTACATGCCATTCCTCCAGAGACCTACCATGCCCGACTCTATGTACCTACCTCCGTTCCCCTACTATCCACCAACGGTAAGATATATATTAAATAAGCAGGGTGATGCAAGCGGTAAGCGCTTAATCCAGTGAGCTCCATATAGATCAGGAGTGAGAACTCGAGACCAAAAAGTGAAGCCAAAGATGAAACTATTGGACGTCAGTTCCAGTCCCTTTCTATTGTTTTTGTCTGTGCGGTCTTCAAGGAGTGTGCCGAAATTTCGTATTTTTACTACGATTTGTATAGGTAATCATGCGATGGTGAGTACAATTAGGGATTAATAGTACGAGTGATGTTTGGAAATTTTGCCAAAATTGGACGAGCCGCCGTACTATTAATCCCTAATTGTACGAGCAACATCGCATGATTACTTGTTTATTATTAGCATGACAAAATTGGATACGTACTTCTCAATGTCAACATCATATTCTCTCGCCAAAGCCCAGTCCTGCCAGACTTTCAACCAAAATTTGGTGCTTTTGTTCGTATTTTCATTTAGTTCTTTTGTTAAAGCAAAATTTGGTGCTTTTGTTCGTATTTTCATCTAGTTCCTCTAGGGCAAATGACAATTTCATTTCACGCTTGTGTTTAATCCGCCATTTCGTTCTATTGCAGTACAATTAATGAAATAATTGTACTCCTCTCAACCAATCAGCAT